TCGCCCTTCCTCTTTGTCCTTCTACTTTCAAAAGGCCCTGTTAGTGTCAAAATCTGCAAGCCTGCTTTCCTCATTACATGTACCCAGTAATTTTATCTCTTTCAGTTTCTAAGTGTCCTAGTCGTTTGACGCTTTCTAGAAACTTTTTCGTTGCGCACTTGCTCCGTTCATACTTTTCTCAGCATTCTTCTCTAGAACAACATCATCGTTGGCCCAAATCTCCTCTTTATCCGTGAGGAAATTGTCCAGCATTCAACGACCTATACGAGGGTTTATATGTCATGGTATTTTTTCTTTTTTATATATTTTCACTGTTTATCACGGATTTTTTTCAGTTTCTTAATATATATTAAACTTCTGGAAAACATATTTCTCTATTCCAATGCACTTTCGGGTTTCAATATTATACTTCAATCATCAGTTAAACATTTCCCAGCTTTCTATACTTACTTTATTTGACCATTTGCATTTCATTGCTCTCATCTTTGGCTGTCCTACTAACTGTAAATTATACATTCTTTCTCATTACAGTGGGAAATTTTTATTAAATCATTCTTCTAAAGTGTATACAATTTCACGCTGACTTTTCAGGATCATTAGGTAATGTTTGAATAACCTTTCTGAAATGAAAAATAGCTGGAAAGGTTTAATGAGCTCTACCTATTTTATAACAGATCATTTTTAAAAGTAACATCTTTTTTCTGTACCAGCTGATAATTATTCCCTTCCCCATAATGATCAATTCCAATAATTTTTAACTGGATTTGTGCAGTGGTTTTACAGCATAAAACTTCCAGATATAGATTACTTTGGCTTTCAACGTAAAGTTAATCCATTCATACCCACCCCCCGTAAAAAGAACATTTGTTAGTTATACAAATTTTTAAAAAATATCCACTATTAAATATAAGTTTCTCAGAACATTATATTAATTATATGCTTATAAATATCCATATATTAAGCATTGATTTCTAAAATAAATCATATATAAATGATAGGTTTCTACCTAATTACTTTAAACCTGCCATGAACAAACTGTGATCCGTTGGCTGCATGGTGTCCGTTTGGTCTCTCAGAATGGCGCGTGTAATTCCATGGGAAAAATAACGTTTCTTTTGTTTTGTTCTCAATTTTTCATTCAAAATTTCTCATACATAACCAAATAGATAAATAATGATTAAATACAATGTTTCTTGAATTTTGTAACCTTTTGCTGGAAAGTAACGTTTTTTTATCATTTTAGACCATTGCCAATTTTTGCTAAGGAATATCACACGTGTAAACATATTTTGAAACAGGAAATATTCATGACAATCTTTTTATCTGTAAAAGAAATATGCTTTATTTTATTTTCAAATTGAGAAATTACAAATAAATCACACGCAGCGACATGTATTAATCCCTAGCTATCAGTAATAATATTGTACCTAAACTTCAATTTTGTATTATAGAAAAATATTTTCTACAAAGAAGAAACTCCCCATTTCTAAAGTATATGCTTACACATATGGTCTTCTTTCGTGAAAATAACTGAGGTACCTGCTGCGAAAATTACCTTGATTATTTTTAATAGTGCAGCCTGCATTGTAATGAACCAGGGGTCACGCGGCCCATTGCTCAAAAAACGGTTGTCCACACCTGCTTTAAACATTAAATGCATGAGATACACGTGTTTGAATAGAGCTTTCTATTCTTTAAACGATATAAATGCGGTGGCTACGGACGTCTCTTCACATCTAAAATAGGACTCAATTCACACAGAAGGAAATTTCGATAGCAGCCGTAACACTCGGCGACGAGTTCCGCCAACGACTTCAACGTAAATTTACGTTGATATTGTGCAAAGAAAGACGATGCTTAATCAAACACAAGTATTAACTTAAGATACCGTTTAAATCAATGAGAAATAATCCCGAAATATAAATAAAATCCATTAATTCCTTAGCAATTACTAGATTTCTACCTGTAACCATTAATGAATGTTCAATATTTGGTACACTGGCTATTAATAGGTTGACTTAGAATGTATTGAACTTTAAAGCAAGTTGCAGTGAGATCGATAATCATACGAGTCTCTATATTAGGCCCTTCTTACGTATTACACTAAAATTAGAATATATCGCTCATAATCACCTCTGCAGGCATTGTTACCAAATATAAATTGATTGACTATGTAATTATAACTTAGAGTAATGCAATCGTAACCTCCGATATTCAAGTATTAATAAAAGCCAATAACCATTTTATAAGATTCCACAAACGGGGAGGCATCTTAATAAAAAAAAAAAAAAGCTGAAACAATGAATTATTTGCATACTAACTTAGAAATATTTATGATAGTTTATCTTGATATATAGTTAAACTGTGATTAATAATTTAGAAATTTTAGTCCTTTTTGTATTTGAGTTGGTCGGCTAAAATAAAAGGAACACATGAAATGCATAATGTTATCATAAATGTGTTAATATTATTGGTCTTCTCCACATTCAACGATAATTTAATTAGGATAAATTGATTTATATAGTTTGGTTTTGCCTCGCTAAATAACAGGAACCCGTTCATCAGTTGACTAAATATTATTGTGAAATTTAATCGGCGTGGTTTATAAAATTTATTCGGTTGTAGAATCGTCGGTTCAGTGTGAGACGAAAACCTCTATCCCAGTGTTATTCATCTGTGCAGAAAGCCTTGGCATTTGACGGAAATTTCCGTACCTTTTGTAATATTTCTTGGGACCTGATTCCCAAAATCTCGATAGAGTTCCAATTTCTTTCTATTTATAACTTTGTTAAACTGAGTATGTGAAGAAAATATTCTACCAGTCTTCCCTGGTTTATAAGATTAATTTAATTGATTTTCCGATTTTTCTCCATGTTTTCTTTGTTTTCCTCATAATTCTTAACATATAAGTGCTCAATTGTAAGTTTCAGGCAGCCTTCATAAGTGATGTTAACCCATACAAGTACCGTATTTGACGGCATATAAGACGCAGGTGTGTTTAAGATGCACCCAATTTCAGCAGGGTAAATCAAGAAAAAAATTAGTAATTAGTGAAATTAGTAAAATTATTAGTAAATGTTACAGCCTAGGCTATATTTATGAGTTATTATTTTGGTTAAATAAGCCATGATAACAAGTAAACCAAAAATAATAGAAAAAACACGAACATATAAAAACTTTATTATATACAAAGGTAAGAAAACATAATAAGAATCAAGCGATTGTTACAACTGAGCAAAATAGTACAGTTACCATTAAAATTCAGTCAAAAAATTTCATTTATATAATCTGTTAAACATGTGACGTGTAACGTCTTCGTAGAATAATTATGATATAAAAATTCTGATTGTATTTATTTATACCATTTTAACCGGAAGTTATCGCAAGAAAAATATTAGTAAAACAAATATATTTTACAAATATATCATTTGAATTTATTGCATATAATTTTAATAAAACAAAGTACTAATATTAAACGTGATGAAATTAATATAATGAATATTATCAATGATAACACTTTTAATCTGCATAATCGCCTTTTAAATAACGACAATAAGTATAGTAAAGTTACTCTAAACTCTAAGTTAATAGGAGTTGCTAGGTAGTTAATTTCGGCTTAAATTTAAGTTTAAACTTACATATGGCATATAAGACGCAGGGGAATTTTAAAAGATAGATTAATAAAAAAAAAGTACACCTTATATGCCGTCAAATACGGTAATTTTATATATATGAAAGGCTCAATTCTAGATTTTTCTATGAATTCGGCCTTCCTCTTCTTAATCATCGTAGACTCCTGGGTTGTACAGAACATTATCACCATGTTAATGTTTATATCGGGATTTCAGTAGCAACAAAGCTGAGCCCACACCCAATTTTTAATTCAGAGTTGTCCTTCTCCAAGATTGGTTACCAACCAAAGTTGGAGATCCCAGTCTGTCCTTCAGTTTAATTCGTAGCTTGGAGTAAAAATTAGATTCGTTTTTCGCGTGAAGCTGAAAGCAATGACCAATGTTGGGATTTGAACTCGGCATGCCAACAGCATTTCGGCACTGATAACCACTACTCTACGCGTACATCTAAATTTCTTTTGTCATTGGTGCTGTGTAATTAGACACACATTATTAGTGCTGCCTGCGGAAATGAAATATTTAATGAAATGAATGTTCATTTATTTATTATCTGTACACGTAATAAAGTGTTTTATCAAAGCTAAATAAGTAAGTAAATATTATCTAATGAACTTCGGAAAAAGTAATCATTAAAAACATTAAAGAAAAGGAAATATAGTGAGATTGTTGCGTGTACATCTGTATGTGTGTGTAGATAGGTATATATAAAGACACAAAGATATTAACATAGAACGATAGATATGAACAGATATAGATATTAACATTCGATGATAGATATTAACATTCGATGATAGATATAACATTCGATGATAGATATAACATTCGATTATAGATATAACATTCGATATAACATTCGATTATAGGTATTAAAATTCGCTTGAGGATGAAATGGAACTAATGTCTTTAATTTAATTACAAAATTAAATTCGGGGATTTCAGCTCACATTTTTGAAACATGGTTAGAACTGTGTAGCGAAAAAAACAATATTTTAAATCAATTAATTTATAATATAGATATTAACATAGATTTATCTGATTGGATTGTTTTTTTAACTTTGGTGGTCGAGATAGAATTAGTGTTTTCAGCGTTATTTGACCATAGATAGATAAATAGGTAGATATTTCTTGTACTAATTCGTTTTCTACGACTTATCAACCCTTCGCAGATTATTAAAAGCTATAAAATAATTTTAGATTATAAGATTATTTTTGGAGATAATATATATTTAGTAATACAAGTTTTAATAATTAACCTATAGCCGGGTATTTGCACGTAAGTGAATAATACGGACCCAAAAGCAATTGGAACTCGGCTCTCCGATTAAAAATTTCAAGCCATTATCTATTCCATCATCCACACATCCAATATTACAATACCTAGTATTTTCAAGCGTTCACCCATGAAGGTACTGACGAGGATCGACGTTGCTTAACATCGGCGATCGTACGGGAACCGCTGTTTCAACGTGATGTGGTCATAAGTAGATAGATAGATAGATAGATAGATAGATAGATAGATAGATAGATAGATAGATAGATAGTGAGTGTTACAGAAGCAATCTCTCGTCAACTATTCAGATCAATTACAGACAGTTTTGAATAACACTCACTCGGCCCTCAGGGTCTGTTTTTCTCCTCTTTCGTCTTCTGAGGAGGGATTCATTTCACTTTTCTCCCTTGCCATTCTTCACACTGCCAAGAGAAACTCAGAAAAAGAAATCTATCATTACGAACAAAGTCCATTAGCAATATTGCCGGGGAACTGCTAACTATATATTAATGAAGCTTCATTTTGTTGAGTGCTTCTTCGTTTTCAATTGCGTGAAGAGGAGTAGAAGATGAAAAACGGAAAGAAATGTGTTTCTTTGAAAAGCGCCACGGAAAAATGGATCGACTGTATCCAGCTTCTATTACGGTAGAAAATCTATTTTCGAAGACCAATAGTGATACTAACAATACCGTTTGTTAGATCAGGAATCTAAAAAAATGGCTAGTATATGTCTTTAATAGCATATAGATATAAGCACATTTGAAGGTGGATATTTGATATTAATATTGAACAGTTTTAATTTCTTCTGTAGAGAGATTATTCAGATGAATCGAGTGATTTTCCTGGGCCAGTTTTTGAAATGAGTAAATAATGTTGATTAACTTGTTTTTTTTTTACGGCTTATCAACCATTTGCATCTTATTTAAAGCCAGGCAATATTTTAGATTATAAGTATGTTATGGAGATAATAATGATTTTCAGATAGAAGATCTACTAATTAACCCAGAGCTGGGGGCAGAACAGGTGGATATACTTACGCTCAAATATCTGCAGATATTTGAGCGTAAGTGAATATAATGATCCCGAAGTGAATTGGAACTTAGCCCTCCGATTTCAATTCTGAGTCGTTATCCATTACACTACCCGCACATCCAAGTTTACAGCACCTGGTATTCCCAAGCAGTCACCCATCTAGGTACTGACCAAGCGCGAGGTTTGCTTAACTTCGGTGGTCTTACGAGAACCGATGTTTCAAATTTATATGGCCGTAA